TTCACAATGTGTGGTTAGTGTCCATCCTTCACAGTTCTTAAGTGTTTGGATTATTTGTTATATTGTTGTATTTCGTGTTATAGTGTGTTATTGTGACTATCATAGGATTACTGTCTAGTCTGGGGATTTTAACAGAAGTGAGGAAGTCAGGCCAAGTTGCGACTTGGAATATTTATGTATTATGTAGTGCCATAATTTGAGTCGCCTTACCCATGACATAGGTTGGATGTTAATTGCGAGCCAACATTTCAACACTAAAACTACTTCAGAGTGCTTTTTCTTTCATTAGGGGAAACCCTAACAAAAGTACATAACAACAGCATTATGTGACAGATGGTTATAAATGTATTTTCACAGTTCTTACATTCCGTGTCAATGATGTCATTTGCTACATAATAGCAAGCTTGGTTGAATGTATGTATGCGTAGATGGGTGTCATGTATGTATGGATAGACGTACATGTGTATGTATGATACCGTGTATATATGAGTGTATGTATGGGTAATAGTATAAGTTTGCATGTATATCTTTGTGTGTGTCTGGGTGCGTGTGTGTACATGTGTGTGTGGGCGTGTGTCTGTGAGTGCGTCTGAACCTGATGGTGTCTGTATGTGTGTCTGTGTGTGTGTCTGTTTGCATGTCCTGTCGTGTGTGTGTGCATTTCTCTGTGTGTGTCTGTGTTAGTGTGTCTGTTGGTGTGTGTCTTTATGTGTGTTTGTCTGTGTATATGTGAGTGTGTGTCTGTTTGTATATCTGTGCGTGTCTGTGTTTGTGTGTCTGTCTATGCGTGTGTTTGTATTAGGGCTGTACCGAATAGTGATTTTCACTATTCGGCCAAATACGAATAGCTGGACCAACTATTCGGCCGAATACGAATACGAATACGAATAGTAAAAAACATTTATAATGTCAAATGTACGCTGAACTTTTACTTCATATAACGTAGCACAGAATAGTCATCTTCTTCTTTAGCATTCTGAGCCCTTGAGGTTTACTGCTGCAGATATCACTAGTCTCTATTCATCTCTCTGGCTGGTCTTATCTTCACAATTTGTGACACCAGTTGTTTGCAGGTCTGACTGGACATTATCTCTCGAACTTCTTTTATGCCTGCCTCGTGGTCTACCCCCATTCCTCTCTCAGATGTTAACAGTTTTACTTCTCTGTCATCTGACATTCTGTCAATATGCCCCAACCATTTTAGTCTGTTAGCTCTCATAATGCCAGTGATCAATAGAGATTTAAACAGATTATGTGTTACGTTGTTGCTTCTCACTCTCCTTTCCCCGCTGTTAGCATCTTTGATGGGTCCAAAGATTTGTCGTAAGACTGTTTTCGAAAACCTGTGATAAGGCCTCATCTCTTTTATTTCTGCTTCAAGTTTCAGAGCCATATAAAACAATTGGTCTTGTCAACGTTTTATATATTTTGATCTTGGTGCTGCGAGACAGACACTTTGACTTTAGTAGATGTTAAAGGGCATAGTATTCATTATTTATAGATTGTATTTTAGGTTGTATTTCTTATCTCAGCATGTTGGAGCAGTTAAAGTTTGCACCCAAGTACTTATGTTTCCGTTCGTTTGTTTTTCATATTATCGACTTGGGTGTGGCCGGAGTTTATAATCTTTCCATATCTAGTTAGTATTCAGAATAGTAAACATTTAAAAACATTTTATATTTTTGCATCCTTCAGTCAGTCTGTGGTAACTGATAACTAGGAATGAAAGGATCCTAAGTATTATAACAAGTAACTAAACTTGGAAATTGTCACTGACAGCTTAGTTAACGCAGGAAAACTGCATTAGCTTTCAACAAAACCAATCGTTCCATTTGTTAGCATTAAGGCCGTGTATGCAGAAGCGGGTGTAAGGTAACTACTATTCGTATTCGGCCCGACCGCAACTATTCGGCCGAATACCGAATAGTCAATAGGTCCACTATTCGACCCCGAAGCGAATACGAAGCGAATATTCGGTACAGTCCTAGTTTGCACGTGTATCTGTGTGTGACTGCATGTGTGTCTGTGTGTTTGTGTGTCTCTGTGTGTGTTAGTGTGCATGTCCGCGTGTTTATGTGTCTATGCGTGTGTGTCTGTAGGTGTGTCTGTTTATGTGTGGCTGCGTATGTGTGTCTGTGTGTGAGTCTGATGGTGTCTCTAAGTGTGTCTGTGCCTGCGTGTGTTTGTGCCTGTGTGCATGTGTGTGTGTGCTTGTGCCTGTGCGTGTCTATGCCTGTATGTATGTGTGCCTGTATGTGCCTGTGCCTGCGTGTGTCTGTGCCTGTGTGTATGTGTGCCTGTGCCTGTATGTGTCAATGCCTGTGTGTGTCTGTGTGTCTGTGCCTGTGTGGGTCTGAGTGCGTGGCATCGCGTGTATCTGCTCCGCCTCCCACCCCGTCCCTTCTTCATGGGGTCTAGAACCTAGTCTTAGCCTACCATCGCCGCCCATGCTATGGGTCTGTTCCCCACCCCTTCCGGTCCCCAAACCCCCAACCCTAGCCTATGCTATGGGTCTGTACCACCGGCACCCGTCCCTTCCCCATGGGGTATAGAACCCAGAATCTTAGCCTACCATCGCTGCCTATGCTGTAGGTTTGTCCCCCCCCCCTCCAGCCCCCACCCCTCCAGCCCCCACCCCCTTTTCCCTGTCCGTCCCTATGGGGCCTAGAACCCAGAACCTTAGCCTACTATCTGCGCCTATCAGATTTGCAAGGCAACCTGAGTGTTATCATTCAGAGTTATAGGAACTGTTGCGTGGCAACTGCTACAAACTGGCTAACAGGGCATTGAATAATTCTCCCATATATCCTTCGGTCTCTGAGATTCGGCAACTGGCAACCTGACAGGCTTTGTTTGAATGAGGTCAAAAGCCAAGTCAAGATCTCGTAAAACTGTCGCTTTTATTGGCATTTAGAAATGCCAATTCAAAATATGCCGAGTCCAGGGAAACGGCTTATTCTGGGACATGTTTTGTTTGATTTCTCATTAGTCATATTTTATATTATAATTTTTCTTTTCACATTAATCATATTTGAATTTATAACTTTTCTTGTCACAGTAGTCATATTTGATATTATAATTTTATCTCCCACATTACTCATAGTTGATATTATAATAATTTTTCTTCTCACATTAGTAAAATGTAACAATACAATTGTATATCTCACATTAGTCATATTACATATTAGAACTTTATATCTCACATTAATCATATTTGACATTAGAACTATTTACCTCACATTATTCATTCCTAATGTTAGAATTTGTCAGTTCACACAGTCATATTTGAAATTACAACTTTTAGGTTTACATTAGTTATTCGATATAACTTTTCATTGCATATGAATCAAATCTGATATTAGATGTTTTTATCTCACATTAGTCCATCAGTTGTATTTGATATTAGAACCTTAAATCTCCCATCACTCATATTTGATATTACAAATTTTAATCAAACACTTGTTATATTGGATATTAGAACTATTCATCTTACATTAGTCTTTCTTGATATTAGAAGTTTTTGTCGCACACTAATCTTATTTGACTTTAGAACTTTTCATCTCACATTTCGGCAGCCCACATTTCTAATATCAGTTTTTTTTTTTTTAAAGTTTGTTTCACATTAGTCATATTTGATATGAGAAATTTACATCTTACGATAGTCATTTGAGATATTAGACTATTATATTAGACCTTTTAATCTCACATTAGTCATATTTGATATGAGAAATTTACATCTTACGATAGTCATTTGAGATATTAGACTATTATATTAGACCTTTTAATCTCACATTAGTCATATTTGATGTTAGAACATTTCATCTCACATTAGTCATATTTGATGTTAGAACATTTCATCTCACATTAGCCATATTTGATGTTAGAACATTTCATCTCACATTAGCCATATTTGATGTTAGAACATTTCATCTCACATTAGTCATATTTGATGTTAGAACATTTCATCTCACATTAGTCATATTTGATGTTAGAACATTTCATCTCACATTAGCCATATTTGATGTTAGAACATTTCATCTCACATTAGCCATATTTGATGTTAGAACATTTCATCTCACATTAGTTAAATTTAATATTAAGACTTTTCATCTCACGTTAGTCATGTTTGATATTAGAATTTTTCATCTGACATTAGTCATATTATACTTGTTTGTCTCTTTAGTCATATTTGATATCATAACTCTCTAGCTTAGACAACCGCAGGACCTAATGAACTCAAACAGTAACTGCCTCAAAAGATGCTATTCCATACAAGACATGCTATACCATACAGGACATGAGATACCATACAAACATGCCATTCCATACAATACATACCATGCCATACAAGACAAGCCATACCATACAAGACATGCCATACCATACAAGACAAGCCATACCATACAAGACATGCCATACCATACAATACATACCATGCCATACAAGACATGCCATACCATACACGATATACCATACAATACATGACATATCATACCATTCAAACATGCCATACCATACAAGACATGCCATACCATACAAAACATGCCATACCATACAAGACATGACATACGATAAAAGACATGCCATACCATACAAGACATACCATACCATGCATGACATACCATACCATACATGACATACCATAACATTTAAGACATGCCATGCCATACAAGACATGCCATACCAAAGACATACCATACCATACAATACTTACCATCCCATTCAAAACATACACACGAAGAGAGAACGCCGTTTTGCACGAAGAAGACCCAGAACAACATAGACAGATAGCACTGGATAAATTCTACAACAGCTCAATTAGCCTATGGTCGAGGCGGACAGAAGAGCAGAAGTACGGCTGTAACTATGAATAACCATGAATGGGGGTATAACCGGTATTGTTATAACTATGAAGGAGTGGTCTATTCTTTACGATTACAACTACGAATGAGTGATTTAACATGTACAAGGTTAGAAATGTAAGTATTATTATAACAAACCTTTTTTCAGCACCGACCCAAACACAGTATAGTTTCTCTCGGCGGTACAATTCCACCGCTCAAAGCGAAACTGACTCTGGCACTCAAGAATGCCACGTCTAGCGCCCTCACTGATGCACAACAAGGACTGCGGGTTATCCTTGCACACTTGTAGCTGCTCGTGAACTAATCCAGGCACTTCGTTACATGTGTTGTCGCCGAGAGATCCAGCCAGCGAAGCGATTCCAAGATACCTGAGGAGGATACAATGTCCGAAACGTTACTTATTTCACTTTTAAATGAAATGTGTGTCGTTCTGTACTGTTGCGTGTCCCTTTGCTGATCAGTTGTCGTGGAGGTCGGAGGCGTGATCGCCTGCGCTGGATGATGATGATGACAGAGACGAGTGCAGAAAGTCCACGCTACTGGACGCGTGAGACAAAGGTTTCTTGAAATTAACGGCTAACAGCGGTCTTTCATGGGTGTTATGAGACCCAGGTGTGATCGGGCGCTGGACGTGAACCCATGTCAAGGTCAGTTCGCTTTACTGTATGGACGTGTTCTTGTGTCCAGTGGCTGAATGGACTGTGTTTTAACAATGTTTTATTCTGTGGAATTCCCGTGAAACGTCTGGGATGATTGTGATGTATCGGGAGTCGGACTTTTGGGTATTCTGTCAGTAATTGTCTAGAATGAAGTTGTATCGGACATGTGGTGTGGGGTCGGCAGTGTTACGGCTGTGAAACACGTGTACAAATAAGACAAAATCCTAGGATACAGTGTGTCAAGAGAACACCACACAAATTGGGGGGGGGGGAGTATCGGATGTTAGTCGGCGAAGCTTCGGCTTCACCTGTAGATAAAGTTATCAAGAGATTACCACACAAATAGGACAGCACCTGTAGATAAAGTTATCAAGAAAACACCACACAAAAAGGACAGCACCTGTAGATAAAGTTATCAAGAGAACACAAAAGGACACACCTGTAATAGGTTATCAAGACAGCACCTGTAGATACAGTTATCAAGAGAACACCACACAAATAGGACAGCACCTGTAGATACAGTTATCAAGAGAACACCACACAAATAGGACAGCACCTGTAGATACAGTTATCAAGAGAACACCACACAAATAGGACAGCACCTGTAGATACAGTTATCAAGAGAACACCACACACAATAGGAGAACACCACACAAATAGGACAGCACCTGTAGATACAGTTATCAAGAGAACACCACACAAATAGGACAGCACCTGTAGATACAGTTATCAAGAGAACACCACACAAATAAGGCAACACCTGTAGATACAGTTATCAAGAGAACACCACACAAATAGGACAACACCTGTAGATAAAGTTATCAAAGAGACAGCACCAGACACACACCTGTGTAGATAAAGTTATCAAGAGAACACCACACAAATATCAAGAGAACACCACACAAAACACCTGTAGATAAAGTTATCAAGAGAACACCACACAAATAAGGCAACACCTGTAGATACAGTTATCAAGAGAACACCACACAAATAAGGCAACACCTGTAGATAAAGTTATCAAGAGAACACCACACAAATAAGGCAACACCTGTAGATAAAGGTATCAAAAGAACGCCACACAAATAAGGCAACACCTGTAGATAAAGTTATCAAGAGAACACCACACAAATAAGGCAACACCTGTAGATAAAGGTATCAAAAGAACGCCACACAAATAGTGCTACGTCATGTCCCTTGAAACCAACCGAGGACACCAGTTACACAACACAAATAAGGCAACACCTGTAGATAAGTTATCAAGAGAGAACACCACACAAATAAGGCAACACCTGTAGATACAGTTACCAACAAGAGAACACCTGTAGATAAAGGTAATCACACAAATAAGGCAACTCTGATACATTAGGCAACACCTGTGAGTTATGAACACCACACAAATAAGGCAACACCTGTAGATACAGTTATCAAGAGAACACCACACAAATAAGGCAACACCTGTAGATTTTATAACCATATAGGACAAGGTATACAATAAAGTTATCAAGAGAACCCACACAAATAGTGCTAACACCACACATGTCCCTTGAGAACACCACCAACTGTAGAGGAGGTAGTACTGAGGAAGCCAAAGAGCACAAAATATCGCAGCTATGCTGTAAACAAGCCAAACACAAATTGCGTCTCTGATTATTTTGATGATGAAAACGAAGTATCCTTTGTTTATTTATATATTGTTAATGTAAACATAATGCACATTTTTATAAATATATTTGTTAAATAAAGTAAATCATAAAATTGTCCACAGTGATACGACTATGGATACCGACAAATTCACTGTGAACGTTTCAAGGAGATTCTTAATGATCAATGTGTTTGTATTTCTTTTCTGTTCTGCTCTCTCTCTCTCTCTCTCTCTCTCTCTCTCTCTCTCTCTCTCTCTCTCTCTCTCTCTCTTTCTTTCTTTCTCTCTCTCTCTCTCTCTCTCTCTCTCTCTCTCTCTCTGTCTCTCTCTCTCACGTAATATTCAGTTTTAAAGTTACTGATATTTCTGCGTACCAAAACAAAACGTAGCGCCACGACGTTTTCCTACAAGTCAATAAGCACACCCCTTTCTCCGCCCACCACCCCTTTTTTTTTTTCTTCTTTTCCACATCCTCTTTTGCACACTACCTCAATGAGTTTCCCTGGAACTCGTGTGCTCGTATATTTGTGAACGTAATGTCCAAGTCATGGACCCAAAGACCGTGTTGTTATATTTTAATTTGCGCTATGCCAAGTAGGCTGCAATTATAAATATCTATGCGTGAGTGTGTGTGTGTGTGTGTGTGTGTGCTAGTGTGTGTTGGTAATCTTGGTATTCTTGGTAATCTTAGTTTCAGCTTCATAGCAAAGGTCCTCCCATAGTTGCTTCACTCCTGTGCCAACGAAAAACACACAGAATGTTCGTCGCAGTCCCTTGTGGAAAGATTGACAGACTGCTGTCTCAGCAAATGCACTAGCATACACATGCATTAAAAACATACGGTAGCCATCAGAAGTGCTAACACAAACAGTCTGAAATTAGAAATGCAGTTCATCATCGACGGTAGCAGAAGTCGCCAACAAATCAGCAGTTGCGCACGCGATCAATATTAATCGCATAGGGGCACCATCAATATTGCGGCGACAGGCCACGCGCCATTTTCTGAATCTACAGTTCACAACACCACTTTGGTCACAGTCAAAAAACATTCTAAATGAAATCCGCAGCTCACAAGTCGCGCCATGCTCTCAATTCAGTAGCTGGCGTGACGAAATTGTATCAGTTCAGTCTACAAATGGATCAAAAATGCAACGGCCACCGTCTGGCAGAAGCAAAAAATTTGCCTCGACGCGAAACAGTTACTGCGCCTGGCGTCCATTTTGACCGCCTCCGTCCATCGTTCTAATGTACGACGACAACACACATGAAAGCACCTGTTAAACAAGAAATCATCTGCATTGAGAATGACGCAGTACAGCTTACACATACGTCCAATGGCAAAGTGAGCTGAACACAAAGGTACTTGGAAAGTAACCTTTCAGCTCCGTTACAGTTCTCTTGTACCTTTGTTTGATCTTACAGCACACATTACCTGTTGGGAGTTTATTTTATTTCAGGAAAATGTTGGCTCAATCATCAAGCAGAACATATTTTGTATTGTTGAATTTTGATATTTAAATTGCAGGCAGCGGGCACAGCACGCTACACGCTAGCCAGTTTGATAGGCTTAGAGAGTAGTTGACGATTAGTTCGGATCTGGGCCAAACCTCCAAGCTCTCTCTATGTGCGTTCCGGTTGGGGGAAGGAGAGAAGGGGGTATACAAACAGCTCCCTTACAGGCATGTCTTATAGGGCTACTATTATCAGTGTTTCCTTCAATATCGAAGTGCACCTGCCTTAAAGGAAAGGAACCAGCTGTTTGCACACAAATAAACTACATAGGTAAAACGGATGTGTGTGCAACTCGAATTTTTAGAACAAGTCTAGAACTGAAAGAACAATCAAAACTGTCCGCCAGTTTATAGACAGTGAACACTTGGAAGAAGTGAACAAACAACTATAACTTTCCGCCAGTTTATACTTGACGAACACTGTGAAAAAGAAGATTTTCCATATTTTTGAATAATCACCATCATTGAATAATCACTGAGAAATATTATTTAAGAAAAAAAAAAGGATTACAAAATAGATGGAGCTTTTTTAAAAAGCATGTCGTGGACACGTTTAGTTTATTCCGGGGATCTCAGCAAAAGGGAAACACTTGCTTAGAGGAATAGACGGTTAGTTGCGTATCCCTCAGAGGACGTTGCAGAACCAACCCCAACAGTGTAGTTTCTCTATGCAAATTTACGTCCAGTAGTTTGCTATTTCTCCCTGATGGTCGGGCTCCTGATACCAACACAAGGCGCATGGCCCGCAGCTGGGATCGAACCCGGTACCCTGGCATTACGAAGCGTTCGCATCGACTTACCCACAAAGCCGACTGGCTTAGAGGAAAAAACGGCAAACAGCCAAGTTGTGGATGTTAAAATGATTCCATTGATTATTTCCCCCTGTTCAACTTCCGCATTGTGTATGAAGTTGTTTTGTTGTCAAAGTGTTGACAATCGGCGACACGGCCCCGGCAGACAGCGCTAGAAGTCAACGTAGAATTGACACCTTTGGCTGTGTTGTATTGACACCTGACATGGGACCAACCCGGTTGACTGTGGCGGGGGGTTGCCACTGGAATGAATGGTTGGCTTGACAACAGTGTTGCCGGGCTGTCGTGCCACCTGGACAGGTTCACAGACCTGGGACTCCGAGTCGGCAAGCTGCATTATGTCGTTCAGGCAACGAGTGTCATATGTCACTGATATACGAGTGTCATGTGACAAAGACATACTTATATCATGTGTCACTGATATACTTGTGTCATGCGACACTAATACACTTGTGTCATGTGACACTGATATACTTGTGTCAAGCGACACTGATACACTTGTGTCATGTGACAAAGACATACTTATATCATGTGTCACTGATATACTCACATCATAAGTCATTAATATACTCACGTCATGAGTCGCTGATGTACTCACGTCATGAGTCACTGATATAATCATGTCTTGAGTCGCTGATGTACTCACTTCATGAGTCACTGATATAGTCACGTCATAAGTCCCTGGTGTACTCACGTCATAAGTCACTGACGTACTCACGTCATGAGTCACTGATATAATCACGT